AATTCGTGTCTGCAAACCAACACCGTTGTACGTACAGTTAGTCTAATTACAGCGATCTTGATGGGGAATCTCAGGAACATTGGCCAAAAGGCCTTAGCACGAGTGCCGGGTGCATTCACCTCGTGTGGTTAGTGCATTGCACTCGTCACCCGGGCGACTGTCATAGGCATCAGCTGTCGACGCCTCAAAGCGGCTGTTTGGTTTCCAGGATGCCGCCTGCCACTGACCTTTATTGGAGAAGAAATTAAATTGAATTTCGTATAAATATCTGACCAACTCTTATATCCAGTAACTCACCTTTAATCAAACGAATTATACCGTATTACGGGATCCGAAGATCATCATAATAAAACAAGTTGCTTATCTGTGTGCTGAGTGCGAGTTTTCAAATTTCTCGATAGCGTAAAATTTAACTCAAATTTCTACGGAGTTGGAACGTATGCCTACGTTTGCCGCTAGGAGCGCTGTTCCAATTGCATACAAATTTGACTTAACTTTTACGCTATCGAAAACGTTAAAAAACTCGCACTAAGCACACTGATCTGTGTCTCAAACGTTTCAACTTGCACATACGTAAAAGCTAATCGATAATGCGTTACAAAAAAAATATCGATTCTTTGAATATATTGTGTTTCCAAAGAGTAGTGTTACAATATTAATAAATCAAATAAATGAGGAAATCTCGAACGTGTCGTTAGTTTATGCATGATATTTTGAGGAAATACAATACCTCGAACATTAGGTATTGTCATCGTGCAAACGGACCTCTATATAATCCCGCGGTAATGAAGCTGACGTAAGGCGATAACTTCAGAAACGACCGAGTTACATGTAACTCTTTCCTGCTGTGACGATTTTTAACGGGCAGATAGGATTCGAGAAAAGTTGAAGATTCAGAGGAAGTGTGAAAGTAGCCCCGGTAATCAAACAAATTAAAGAGCGGACGGACGGTTAGCGTGGTATGGACGTGTGATGCGTAGAGAGAAGATGCATGTGACTAGGAGATGTATGGAAATGGTAGTGCAAGGTAGAGGTCGACCAAAGAAGATATGGACGGAGTGTGTGAATGACGATATGAGAGAGAGAGGAGTAAGTGTTGAGACGACGGCTGATAGAAGAGAATGCAAGAGAAAAATTAGCTGTGCCGACCCCACCTAGTGGGATAAGGTGGAGAAAAAGAAGAAGAAGGGATAGGATTCAAGACGTACTCTCCTCACTATCTTCTTCTTAATCGCATTCTTCATTGATGAAGGTCGTGTCCATGAAAGGCCTTCGTAGCTCTGTGTACCGTCACCTTCCACTTCGTTCGATTTTCGGCTTCTCTATAACAATATAAAAACATTCATGTTTACGTAGAATAGTTCCTGTTTCAAAAAGATTCGATTTCTATAAAATATTTTCCTATAACACCTAAAGTTCGTCGATCTCAATACGATGAAGACTGAATATTTTTATAGAAAAATCGAGAATACTTATAGCAGGATATTATATATTTTCCCTCTTTACCGATGCGTGGTCTACATTAATGAGATTACAGACAAGTCGGCTGGCTACAAATCGCTATTACTACTTGTATGGGTTTATGTAGATCAAACATGAAGCTTCTGACACATCACTCCCATTGCTTCGAAAATAAATGTTGTACAATACGTCATCTCTATATGGTAATTACAGATATACTGCTATTTATATTGCAGATATATTGTGTCGGTGACGCGAACTCACTAGATTTCACCCATCTAAAAAGCACTAACGCTCACAGCACACGTCAGGTATTATTTATTATATACCAAGCCTTATACGTATATACGTAACATTAGCATGTCGGTGTCGTGAACCCATAAGATTTTCCCTGACCAAAAACTACTCAAAGCCGCTAAAGAAGTTTTCACTTACAAAATCCCCGGTAACCGTACTCGTTGAACTCGACAAAGAGCTCGACGTGCAACCTAACCCATGCATCAGCTCGCTGAGTTACTCGCCGGATCTTCTCAGCGGGTCCCGATTCCGATCTGGTAGTAGATTCATTCGCGAAGCAGTTGCTCTTGAGTTATTAGGTCTCCTTCGGAGGCGCTCGGGCAATCGTTAGCAAATCCCACCCCTTCTAGCTGAGCCTTTGCTCGCTCACATGTCCTGGTGAAACTGGAAAGGCCTCTGGGCCACCAGTAATCCTTCAATAATAATAAAAAAAACTTACAAAAAAAGTGTTGGAATCGTAACTTAGTATTTTGGACAAAACGAGTCGCTTGTATGAATATTCAACTTTTGAGTTGCAATTCTTATAGTAATGAGGAATACGTACGCGTATTTATGACATAATGAGAAACACGACTTTGTTGTTTTTATATCTCACAATATATGCAAGAGCACGATTAATTGTTCACTTGCAAGAAATGTTTGTTGGTACTAAATGCGTCTTTGAGCATACTGCTCATGTTATTTAGTAAGTTTATTGAAATTATTACAACCGAACAAACTGACTATAGTTTTATTATTAAACTAGCTGACCCGGCAGACTTCGTAGTACCTCAATCGATAAATAAAAGGAATCCGTCCGATGGGGAACACATCAAAGGACAAACAAAATTGTTATTTTTATTTAATTCCGAGCATTTTCATATATAAATACCTTTTAAACTTTCTCTGGCCTTTCACAAATAATTTAAGACCAAAATTAGCCAAATCGGTCCAGCCGTTCTCGAGTTTTAGCGAGACTAACGAACAACAATTCATTTATATATATTAGATAGAGGTAGATTATATAAGATTTTTAAAACTCACTTCAATTTCAAACACCTATCAAGCACGCTGCCCTGAGCACTGCGACCGGTTCCGTACTTGAGTTACGAACTATACATCGTAGGAGCACGTTTACAAGTAAAACTGCAATGGAAAAACCTGTTCTGCTTATTTTAGAACAAGTGAACGGTATGCCCGTTGATGAAGAAATCAATGTTATTGACACTAACTCACTTTCTTTCTTTTTCACGTCACCTAAAGCTTCAGAGTAGAAGATATGGACAAATTAAATATATTTCGATATATGGAGGGTTTAAGATATTTTAAAACTGAATCGATAAAATATACGTAACATGAAATAAATAATGTTCATTTGCTATTTGATAAGCAAAAATACTTATGTTTTTAGAAACTTAGAATTTCATTGCAAGTTTAACGAAGGTTGAAGGTAAGCGCCTCCTCACACGTCGCACGAGTTCGTTGACCTCGCGCGGCAACTGTTTTTCAATGGTGCTGCTACATTGCGTGTAGTCAAAACAGTGTGTAATCTGACTTAGGCATGATCAGTACTACGTCTATCCTCGTTTTTGGTAGCCATTCCTTGAAACAAGATATAAACTAAGAAATCTTCTATAAGTAGAATTTATCACATAAAAAAATCCTATTATATATATATTTTTTTAATGAATACAGAAATTAAAACAAAGTTGATGGTGAATTTATTTTTATTGTTACCGTTATTACCACGAATTAATTACGAAAGGACCACGAGTAATGTGTTGTTCATTAACTAAGTGCCCAGGAGCTTTATTGATGTTGTAGAACTATTATTTTAAGTCGGTTACGAAATAGTCGATAACATGGTTTGTAATTATAAGCTTTACGAATAATTTTTTTACACACTTTGTTGTGGCTACCACTAACTTTGAAATTAAGCTAGTGGATATTGTTACCACGTCGAAAAGTCCCACCAAAGATGACAACAATAATACAATAACACCAACAGATTCATCTCAATTGGATAACGGTATTAACGAACACGGGTAAATGAATAACACAAATTTATTTTAATCAGATTTTAAATGATCACAACATGAAATGAATATTCAATGAAATGCCTATGTAGTAATTGTAGCAGAAAAGATTGGACATAATGCAAAAATATTCTTCACTATCCAAACTTAAGAATATAATGGTACAAAAGGTAGACCAAACTTAGAACAAAATATTCGGTATCGCTAAGTCTTAATAAAAATAATTGTACAAATGGTGTATCTAATGTAACGACTATTTTATACTCGTCAAACTCAGAATATTGAGGATACAAAAAGCAGAGCAATTGCGATAGCTATTTTATTTCTAAAAACTTCAAAGTGAACTAAAAATTCATTGCCAGAGAAAACAGTAAATGTATCTAATAAAAAAAATACAATAGTGCTTACACTAAGCTGTGGTAATTTAAATATGTACTAAGGTTTAAATCATTACTTTCATCGTCATTATCATTTAATGTAAATTACTAAAAAGAATCTTAATAATAGAAGTCTCATAACGGACATTAAATGTATGTATAAGTTAATTACTTTATAATTGTCATATTTACATAAAACTTAAGTGTGATTAGGTTGATACTAATAACGGAGGATTATTTGATGGAATACGGACAATTAAACGTAATGACAAGATTTCGAAAATGACTCGTCAATTTTACAAGATGTTGCTCGTGTAGTTTGATGACATGACATTTTGTCCTTGTCAGTCATAATTAAAGTTGCATTTTTTTCATACATTTATTTATTTAAGGATTACCGACAGGGTTTATAGTAAGACATAAAATAACATTGACATGTATAGAGCAATTGATAACTGCAACTCTAATTAGAGGCAATCACAGCATGCATTACCTACATTCATATATCAATAGAGATTTAAAAATACTATTAATAATAATAAAAAATTAAAAACAAAAGAAAGACAATAAGGACAGTAATACCCGAGTACTTAGATCAAGGCTGAGGCTGAGGTTCAACAACAACTTTTTATAATTTTGTTCCTGAATATTGGAAGGGAATCGCCAAATATGTCAAGGTTTTCAGCTTTTCTGACTAGATTATTATAAAGGTTAGTTTAGCAATAACTAAAATAGATCATAGCCGGTTTGACTATTTTTCCATAAAACACCAATTCCATAGCACACCTAGCATAAATAGCTAGTATCTTGCTATTGCAATGTCTAACTATGCGCGTTTTCTTTATTTCAGATGCCCCGAATGATGCGAATTACATGATATGCGGTGTCGTGATCGCTATGGCCCTTGTGGGTCTTATTATAGTGCTGCTGGCCTTAACAATCAAGTAAGTGTCCATTTGTCGATCATTCTCATTACGTTGACCCTGTAAACAATCACACAACGAATCATTACGCTCGAACATTGCCCTAGTTAAATGGTTTGGTACAAGTCCTCTTTAACGAACCTTCTCGGTATTCTGGTTTCAATTTGATGATTCATTGCCTTTTGTCGTGGGATTCGTGTTGTATTTTCCAAGGATTTTAGAGCGTTATTACTATGTGATAATCTCGAAAAGTCAGTCTGGTCAAATTTGTTGAAACATATTTATTGGTTGGTAATTTTCTTAATGTCGTTGAAAGCGGGGTTAGAGCTTAAGACAAATCCTGCGTACGTACGTAATTGTAAAAGATCGCTCTCACGCAAACGTAGTCGCCCACATCATCAATATTCGAACGATCTTTTGATATAGATAGTTTTAGGTGAGTGGATTTTTAAAGACTAATAAATATTTTGTGATCGTTAACACTTTCGCTGACAGTACGTCGTTAGACGGGAAATTAACATATTGCGGTATAACAGTACGTCGAAGGACGGGGTACTTACTTTTATGAGCATTGGCAGTACGTCGTCGGACGACAACTTCTAATAGAAGCAATATGAAAAATAGCATTCACTGTCATATTGTAAGCAATCTCACATTTCTTACTGTCGTAACATNAACTACGTCGTGCAACGTCCACGTCTTTAAACGTAGTGCCAGCTTTAGGCAGTCCAATATGTGGCCAATATGACACTACGTTGAGAAACGTTCACGTCTGTGAACGTAGTTTTGCTATAAAACAGGCAAGCATGTATTCAACACAAAACTACGTCGACAGACGTCCACGTCTGTAGACGTAGTGCCAGATTGAGGCGATCGAATATGTATGTATTATGACACTACGTCGTAAAACGTTCACGTCTGTCAACGTAGTGTCACATTTAGATAAGCAAACATATATCCAATACGAGACTACGTCGGGAGACGTTCATCATTTTGTATAGAGAATTTCACTGCCTTTTTGTGATGTCAGGGTAAGTGCTCACTGTCAGCGAACGTGTTAAACTAAAATTGAAATGTGCATTTCGTAAAAAATATACTAAAAATTTATGTCTTAGTTTATATTTGTTGATGGATAAATAAAAAATCTTTACGTCTGCCAAATTATATTGAATCATTCATTTGTTTATAAATATTGATTCTTTTGATGTTACCAAGACGTGGATTTATGGTTTCATTAAACTTTAATTTCTTACGTCTGGCTTAATCTCATTTACTTGAAAAAATAAGCATCGAAATCGATGGTGGGTGGAAATGGTTAGAATATATTGTCAATCAAATCAATAAACAAAATGATAAGCAATTTGCCGTGAGAACTAAAATCATTATAAATTAGGGACTTTGATTAGAATGCGGATGAGAATATTGATACTCTGGATAGGTTAGCGAAGGAATACTTCGATAAAAATAGGTATTTGTTGGTATCAGAACTATTTATAATATTAACGTATTAGATAAAAAGTAGTAGTAACGTATTAGATAATTACATTAAATGTTTGTACAGAAATGACTTAAGGACTTAAAATCCTTTTAATTTTCCATGTACGGATTTTATATTAACAATAAAGGAGGATAGAGAGCACATAGAGAGCCTGCAAGCGAGATATGATTGATATAATTATTCGGTACCGGCTTTTCCTTGAATCCTTATCAGACACTAATATACTATAAATTAGGTACCGAATTTCCATGTTGTTATCACAAAAAAGGAATATTTTGGTATTTAAATTTACCAAATATTAATTATTATACAAAACGGGAAACATCCTTATATTCGATAATCGACTTATTTTGTATTGACAATAAATAGTTTTTTTTAAATATTATGTTTTAATAGTGTTCATAGCTCAGAAACGTTTGGCATTTTGACAGTGGCGATTTTAACATTCCCAGTCGCCAATGTCATTTCCGTCATAACTTTAAAAAGTTCAGACTAGATATTATCATGCATAAATTGTCTGACTAATTACCACATCAATACCTGAATTTATAATATGTAGTACTACTAGTAGGACTACTTCCAACTGAAAATTATCAATAAAATAAATTTAATTAGATTCAACGTTAATAAACTTAAAGATTTTCGAGAAAGTATCTGACAATCTGCAGAAGAGAACATGCTTAAGGGCTCCTTTCTCTCTAGAGTATTCATTCTTGGCTGAGCCTTTGCTCGCCCACTGTTCTGGTGAAATTGGAAAGGCCTTCGGGCCACCAGTAAGTAATAAATCCTTTATAAAAAAAAAGGGATGCAATAGTGCATCTGATTGACCGATTCACTGGTCAGGTAGTGACCCGCCCGGAAAAAAAAGGTAACTAGTGACCCGATTATGATTCCCAAAGTCCCGGAGACACGATTAGATCTTTGTGAACAATATTTATCGTTCGAGGTCTGGTCGTACTTGATCTTTCCTCGTGTGTTTCCCGTACCCGTAACACAGGAACTCAGTATGTAACGGTTGCATTCGTGTTTACCTTCAAAATGTTTATCTAATGCAACTCAACTTACAAACTGTGACGTAATTGACGCAAACTAAATTACAGTTCCAGAGTGCCTATTGTTGAGACCGCTCGAGACTAATCAGTGAGTCAAGGCGATCGAATGGTTATTGAGAGAACCGAGTTTTCAAGGTACCTACTTGCGAAACGGACGTTGATAATTTTCATTTTGTATCTCAAGGCCAATGCTTTTCGTGATACAATTAAGTATCGTAACTGCGTCTTTTCCGCTGGAAATCATTAGAACTTCCTTTAAGTTATGTTATTATTGCTTAGATTAGTCAACGGAGCCCATAGATACCAACAACGTAAATGCTGCCACCCACCTCGAGATATGGAGTTCTAAGGTCTCAGTTTAGTACAACGACTGCCCCACCCTTCAAACCGAAACATATTACTGATTCACGGTTGAAATAGACAGGGTGGTGGTACTTGTCTGTGCGGGCCCACTAGTCGCCCTGTATTAGAATATTCTTACTATAAATGGAATTTTATCACCAAAATGGTTTTAATACTTAATGAAATTCCTAAGCGTATCATATAATGGGACAAATTGAAAATAATTTGGTTCTAATTATACTGTTATTAGAATCTTTTTTCGATATTCTTCACATTAAAATAATTACATCTACCCACATTATTTTATAAAATCTAATTCGCTGAACAAATAAATTACTTGAACAACCTCATTTAAGCACTTAATTGTGAGACGGTAGGAAGTGTGGTGTAAGATTGCAAAAACTGTTTTAATTGACAATAATAATTGTTTGGTTTATATGCGTGTAAACATAAAGAATAATGTATCTGCTACGAATAATCAAACGATCGTTCAAGAAATTTATGATTAAAGGGTAAGCGAGTGTCAACTATCAATATTGTTGTGTAATGGTGATATCCGATTTACCAAAACCATTTTTTGTGTGCTTAGTGACTGAGTTGTTTTTATTTTAGTTTCTATACCTTTTACTGGTGGTAGGACCTCTTGTGAGTCCGCACGGGTAGGTACCACCGCCCCGCCTATTTCTGCCGTGAAGCAGTAATGCGTTTCGGTTTGAAGGGTGGAGCAGCCGTTGTGACTATACTGAGACCTTAAAACTATATCTCAATGTGTGTGGCGCATTTACGTTGTAGATGTCTGTGGGCTCCAGTAACCACTTAACACCAGGTGGGCTGTGAGCTCGTCCACACATTTAAGCAATAAAAAAAATAAAAACCTAGTCCTTAACATTATTATGTTACTAGCCGTACTCGGCCGCTTCGCTGGGCATTTAAAATTAACATTATTATTTATTGTCATTATTATTAGGGAGTCCAACACTCATATAAATATTAGTCTATCCATTAAGTACATGTATTTTCTACATGGATACCAAGTTTCAAGTCAATCGGATGCATGGTTCAGTAGTTATAACGGAACATCCGTAAAAACCACTGTAGATTTATATATTAGAATAGACTACGCGTGGGCTGATAGTAATCCGGAGCGTTTATATGTACATTTACCCTTCTGATACCAACGACCGAAGCCCTGCGGCCTACGAGTGCTCGAATATAAGCCGTAACCGGTAAAATTCATTTGATATTTCTGTCCTTCAGTAATTAATGTTTCCGCAATGAGACACTGCAAACGAGTCTCTCGCAATTAAACAGTTACAGTTACAATTCGCTTGATAAATTGTACGTAGGATGTTTCTAAATGACAATTTAGTTTGTCGGGCTAGTTGTTCATTAATCTGTTATGCTATGTTTTTTTTAGCGTCATACAAAAAAGTTTTAACATAAGTGTTTATCAGAAACATAATGTTAAAATTCGTGGCACAATTAATTATATAATGAGAACTAAACAAGGAATTTAAATGCTTAAAAAATGTTATCCTTCGTAAATGGCTAATTATTAAATAAATTCTCGGTCGATCGGTTACGACGAGGAAAAAATAAAGAACAGCAAAAATTAAAATCATCTAAGGTCACCAAGTCAATATACTGAAAATTATAAAATAAATAAAGTTCATGGACAAGATTAAGAGAAGGTAATTTTAAATTGTTGCAATAAACAAAATTATTATGATCTTTTATAAAGTGGTAAAAAAGTATACATTTCGATATTTTAAATTGTGGGCCTCAATTTTGAGTTTCGAACTAATTCAAATCTGCAAATAGTATTAAAAAAATAAAAATAAAATAAAATTAATTTAATTCATAAATCTGCGTTGCTTTAAAGCACCAGGTACATGGGTATGTATAGGAACCCAGTGTCTCAAAACAGCACATTCGGGTTTATTACCTATAACAATCAGGATATTGTTAGTACTCGCACGAACCCTACGCATCAGTGAGGCTGTCCGTTTGCGGATGATTGATGAAAAGTCATCCACGTGAGCATCCGCAAACGTACCTGATGCGCTGCAGTACCGCGGGAGCCCTAACAACATTATATGGACGGAAGCAGTTTTTGCATCACTAAACTT